CCGACACACAATGCTATGACAGAGGCGGTGATGCATGTACGGCAATAGCACGGTTCTGGTTCACCCATCACTGTCGGCTATGCCCCTGCCGTATGGTTCGAAAAGTATCAATCGCCGCCTCACAGTTGCGTGTGCTTGAAGATGCGAAGTGGGCTGGCTGTCAGTGCCAGGCCACCTCATTCGGGTGTTTGATGGTCCCCATTTTGTAGTACTTGGCCGTGGACAATGCAGTGGCCGACACTGATCCTGCAGCACTCTTCTCTCCCTCCCGACCAGCCGTCGAGCCGCTGTCGGCTAGCAGCTTACACACACACTTCCAGTGGTTCAGGTAGTTGGCCTTCCAGAGTCGGACGCAGCCGTCGTCTCCAGAGGAGCCCAGGATGGTGCCAGTGATGCTCCAGGCGACGCGCCACACCACCGAGCGGTGGTCCTCCAGCCGCGCCAGCTCGCGCACCTCCAGCGGACCGCTGCCGTCAGCCGGCGGGGTCAGAGCGACAATCTGCACCGCCGACGACGCGATGCCCAGCACGTGGAATGAGCGGCCCATGTTGGGCGCAAACGCGATGTCGTGCACTTTGTCGGTGATGGCGGTCAGGTTCTGCACCTTGCTCCACTTGCGCGCGCTCTTGCTGTACTCGAAGACGAGCACTTTAGCACCGCCCGTGTGCGGGTTGGTAGCGTTGGGCGGCTCCTCGGACCCGGCCGCCAGGAGCTGAGACAAAAACGACGGCGCCGGCGACCAGCTGATGCACGAGCCGGCGCAGCGCATGTTGAGCTCGTGCTCCAGCGACCACGTGCTCAGGTTCATCACGTCCATGGCCTCGTAGATGCGGATGACGCCGTCGGCCGAGACGGTGGCCAGCTGGAGACCCATGTAGCGCGGCGAGAAGCGCACGTCCGACACAGAGGTACGCGAGTCGACTAGCGGCGCGCGCCGGATCCACGTCGTCTGGTGGTGGTCGCTGGACGCGTCGCTGACGATCTCCTCCCAGACGGCGGCCGTGCGGTCGAACGAGCACGTGGCTAGCACCTGGCCGAACTCTGGGTGTGCCCAGGTCACCTTCCACACGGCGCCGGAGTGAGCGCGCCACGAGCACGTGCACTGCCACTGGTCCTGCTCGTTCTGGTCCCACACCTTGACTGTGTGGTCGCTGGAACAGGTGGCTAGCCGGCGGCCATAAAAGTCAAACGCCACATCATTGATCAGGTCATGGTGGCCCGACTCAAAGTTGCGATGCTTGGATGTACTCATGGCTGAGCCCCAGATGTGATGTCAGACAGGTCCTGCACCAAGCAGGACAGCAGCTGTGGTCCTGAAACAAGACAGGTTTGAGAAATGAGTGACTCAGGTCAATCAATGAAAATGTGTGTCAATACAGAGTTGACTGTTGATAAGATATCACCTTAGCATCGCCCCAGCCAGCAATTTGGTTTGGCTCAAGTTCGTTTTACCCCAGCAGCTCCAACATGCCAGATTTGGGATGGTGTAAACGGAATGCCGTCAGAACAGGGGGTTTGGGTCGATGGCTCTATTCCGGTTAGCCAGTCTTAGCTGTAGAGCATAGCGCTTCAGAGTTGGTAGGAATGGTTTCAGACCAGAGACCACCAAGTCGTCCAGCTCACAGTGTATATAAATAGTCCAGCTCAAGTACCTAGAGCTCCCTGCCACGGCGTGCTATGGCCAGGTCCGGTTGCCTCATAGCTGCTCTGGCTTACTGTGGCTGAAGTATATACGGTTGAGGTATGGCATGGCTGATATGGCATAAGTCCGGCTGTAAAGTGGGCGAGCTCTGGGAATTGGGATCATACCAGTCAGCTCCAGTACAGCTCCAGACCTTGCCCATGCTTTGGATAGAGTAAATGCCAGAGCTAGCCAGCTGCCAGAGTAAAACCAGATATGGCCTGGACCAAGTTTGCTGGCTGGGACCTTGTCATTAACACTAGAGCCATCTGATATTCATGCCCAGTGTGGCTACTCAGCTTCTGGCAGTGATTCTGTGTTCTGAGGGAGATGGAAACAGGAATCCATGAGTTTACATTCAATGCATTCTCAGACAAACTTGCTGCAGAACTCAGAAGGGCATTGGTTGGAGTTGGACTCAATGGAAATAGAGCATGTTAGGCTTCGAGTCTACTGCGTGGTGAGGCAAGGCAAATTAAGGACAATGAACATCACATTTAGCACCCAGGGCTTAACTTATAGTGTGTAGGCTGGTGTGGTGGGTAGGTACCTACCACTGCTATCAATCAGCTTTTTCTTCCTGACTTTTCGGCACTTAAACCAGTAGCGGCAGTGTTGGGTAAGTACAAATTAACAAACCCTCCAAAATTTAATATGCATGATAGATAAGGCTTCAACTCACACATCAACCGTCAAGGGATTCAATGCTCCAAGAAAATCGGAGATAGCGTTAGTTACCTACTTTCGGCACCCTCTATCGCAAGATCACGTATCTGAAAGTGCTGCAGCTACCAATGCTGTACTACAGATGGAGGCGTGGAGATATGATCGCGGTTTATCAGCTGCTCCGCGGTGGACTGGACATGGACCCTCGCAACTTCTTCAAGATGGCAGCCGACAGAACTCCTGCTACAAGAGGACACCAATGGAGACTAGCCAAGCCGCGAGTGGTCTCCAGGATTCGGCGCAACGCGTTCTCCATCCGGGTCATCAACGACTGGAACAGCCTACCGTCACTGGTCGTCGCATCCGACACCCTGAACCAATTCAAAAACCGGCTTGACGCTCACTGGGCACACCATGCACACGACATCCCTCACGCAGATGAATAGTCAGACGCACGAGGAGCTCGACTAGAAAGGTTTCTAAAGGCCTAGTCTGGCCTATCCAAATTCTGTACTTCGTAAGTAAGTAAGTAAGTAAGTATCTTACAAGTTGCAAGGCCCTATATACCAGAGTATATAGCTATATACCGTATCTTGGCTTGAAACTCTTCACGCGAAAAACAGCAGCTCGCTTCAAAGCAATACCAATCAAATACCAATACCAATGCAATACCCGCAATACCTACAACCAATACAAATCTTTCGCCGGTATTTAACACAAACGCGCCAGCTTTGTAGAAAACAATGGCTTTATTTCAAACTATATTATTTGCTAAATATGACGTCACATTCCATTTATTTGGCGAAATGCTGCATGCTGATTTGCTGACTAGCTTTTCGTGACATCACCAAAAGCTAACATATGATTTTAAGTTTCCGTTGGAGCGCGCGTGGAGCTCGCTGGACGATTTGTAAATTTTGTATGGGGTTGGGGTTTGTTGGGCCGATATTTGGGATTTTTAGGGGTTAGTGGGATGTTTTGCTGCTTTCCGTAGTAGCTGACTACTATTGCACGTAATTAAAGTAAGTTGGTAGTAATTTCCATTCACAATTGTAATAAGATCGCTTACAAATCCGTCTCCGGCCACGGAGCCGGGCCGGGATCTCGATATCTCGATCTACATTTTAAATGATATTGATATATCTGCGAGGTTTAGTGCTAACATCAATATACATAAAAATTACTCCTGTATTGTTATCTGGTTATTTATATCAAATGTGTATTTGCCTACATTTCCCTATTTTCCTTGCTGAGCCGTCTTTCTCACCAGTAGGTAACCCAGCTAGCTAGGGTGGTTCAATTCCCAAGCAATGCATGCGATATTGCAGCTACTTGGCCATTTGGTTCAGCATGCCAGTTCCAGTTAGCATTTGGTCCACTAGGCATGGCACAGAAACCAAATAGCAGACATGGCACGGATTCCAGGACAACCAATCTGAATCACAAAAACAGATGGCCATTAGATTGATGGTCAAGCTTTGGATTAATGTGGAAAATATGACTAATAGAAGCCTCTCAATGAATCAACTATTTTGCATTCCTTCAGAGTTCAGAGTTAACAGTTCTGAGAAAAACCCTCGAGATCCATCTTGGATCCATGATCTGGGATCATGGATCATGGATCTGAGGTAGCGTGGAGAGATTTTCTCAGAACTGTTAACTCTGAATGAATGCAAAATAGTTAGTTCAATGAGACTTCTATTAGCAATTCTTTCCACCATTATTCCATGCTTGAAGACCATCAATTGGCCTGGACCATCTCAGTTTTTGTGATTGGTTGTCCTGGGAGTGGGATCTGTGCAATTTCTGACAAATTTCATTTTGTAACAATTAGTAGACAACATTAGTAGGTCTGACGTCTGTCATGTGCAACTACATCAATTTGGCAGTTGGCTGCTGTAGCTTTCCTGTGGTACACACCTACCTACCTTCTCTGCATTAGCCATGCCATAGGCCATGGTTTTGTGCTTGCCTTAGCCCTTACTGAGCTGCAATGCATGAATACAGAGCCTGCATTTCTGGGTACTGTGGAAAATGACCATGTCCCAGAGAGTCACTGCATTACTATTTACTATGTCTAATAGTAGTAGCTGATAGGACTTGTTACAATTTCAATGAAAGAGTCTATTTTTGAATTGTATGAGCAAGTTCTGTCTTTTGGATCTCATTTCATGCTGGCTGCTGTATATTTATTTCTGCTTAATTTATGTGAACTTTTTTATTTGTTCATTTGAGTAGCAAGCATTTCAAGCATCTGAACAATGAACATTGAGTTAACTGCAAGAACTGCATTATGTCTCAATCACAGTGTATTCTAAATGTGTTTGTAATGCCCCTTTATGGTGAAATGACAATTTTTCAATAGCAACCTTTCAGTGCTAAACAAAACCCAGACCCAGTTTCCTGTGTTATCTGTGTGTGCTGTTGTGTTGCTGTGTCATGCTGAATGTGACCGGACTGAGTATCTAATGTGTCTATGACTGCACTGTTGGCAGACTGAGCAGCCATGGTGGTGGTCACGCCCAGTGGCGGCCACCGGCTGCTGCCGTTCTCGGCCGTCACCCACCAGCGGCTACATCAGGCGGCGGCGCGGCCCGGCGCCGACCCCGCCGGCGCCGCTGACCAGGCGCCGGGCGCGCCGTTCGGCCAGCCGCTGCCCGGCGGCCGGCTGGCCTGGGCGGCCAACGGCGCCGCGCTCGAGGTGCTCTGCTGCCGGACGGGCGCGCGCCGCGCCGCCTGGACGTTCGGTGCGCACTGCTCGGACGGCGCTCCGCCGCAGGTGACTGCCGTCTGCTCCGTGGCCGAGGCGGTCGGTCCGGCCGCTGCCCACCTGCTCGCCGTCGGTCTCGACTGCGGCGGCCGCTCCGACTCGGCCGGCGCTACCGGCGGCGGTATGGTGTGCGTGTTCGACCTGTCGGCGGCGGCAGTGGTGCGCGCCGTCCGACTGCCCCACCAGGTGACGGCTCTGCACGTGCTGCGCGCGCCGACCGACTCGGTCGACCTGTGTCCGCCGCTACAGGCCATGGGCGTGCTGGCCGCCGTCGGCACACAGGCCGGCTTCGTGCTGCTGCTCGACCTCTGCCTGGACGGGCCAGTGGACACAGACGAACGCAGCCCTGGCGTGCCCACTTACGTCACTGTACTGGAGCCGGCGGCGGCGCAGCGGCGCCACGAGCAGGCGGCGCTCGGCAACCACCTGTGTCTACCGCTCAACGACGCAGCCGTGGAGGGCGGTATGTACCAGCACCGGTCAGCGGCGGGCCGGCTCGAGCACGCCCAGCCTGCCGACGACACCTGGGTCTCGACCGTTCACTGGCTGCCCCAGCTGCGAAGCCTGGTCGTCGGTCTCAGCTTCGGATGCTTCCAGGTACGGAGTCGGGGCTGCGGGGGAGGGGCGGATGGAAGCGGGGTGACATTGTTCTACGGCAGCTTCTCCTAATGGAACTTGCAGGTGGAATGCATATTTTTTGCGTTACTTCTCAGTTTTCCCAGTTCTCGTGATGCAGCAATGTCGTAGGCTAAATATAATGCGATTGTGGCAGGGCTGGCAGCTGACGCATTACTATGAACTGTCTAACGATTGCCGTTATTTGTACTTTTGAAAGTACTGTACGACTATTGCACCAACATTTAATGTTAATGCAAGACATAATAAACTGAGTTTTGGTGGTTTGGTGGTGGCAAAGTGTTTCTTCAGTTTTCTTGCTATGTGTCATAGATCGATGGTGCTCAACAGTTGGGTTGAGAACGTTTCAATTTAGCATGTTTGCATTTAGAACTATTTATCTGGTTTGCATTTTCACGAATTTCCCATAAAATGTGGTTCCCAAACTGCGCTGTGAGCTGCTATTGTGCCACCGTCAGGTGTGGAGTCTGGAGACACTTCAGTTGGAGTTCGCCAGTCGGTACGAGGCCGGCCAGCTGCCAGTGGTCGGCTGCGTCTTCCTGGAACCCGAGAACGACCCGCGCCGCTTCGTCTACCTGTGGGTCATCAACAGCGTGCCGGCCTACCACGACATGAACGGCTCTGTGGCCTCGGCGGCGCTGTACGCGCTACTCTACACAGAGCGGTCCTGGGAGGAAGGCATACCCGTCTACCGCGGCCTGCAGCAGGCAGGTCGGAAGCTGGTGTACGATCTGACCACCACGCCCGAGCAGCCGGACGCCGGCCGTGTGTCGGCCAGCTGCCTGCTGTCGGCCTTCGCGCTGCCGGCTGCCGGCCTGGAGAGCAGCGGTGGCGGAGACGACAGCCTGGCGCCGCGAGACGGCACCTGCTGCGCGCTGGCCTGGGAGGCGTGGACTGAGGACGGCGCCTCAGCCTGCACCTGTCTGGCGCTGTTCGACCTGAACCGCTGGTACCAGGCGCAGCTACCGCACCGCGTGGACGCGGCCGGCCTCGAGCGCTGCGAGTACCTGCGCTTCTTCTCGCTGGACGCCAGTGACGGTATCGTGATGGGCGTGTCGGTGCGCGCCGCCGAGCCGCGCTCGGGTCTGCTGACGGCCACCCTCCTGCTGGACGTGGGCGTGCAGACCATGTCGTTCTGCGGACCGCAGGAGCAGCTGCTGCGTGCCCTGCAGGCCACTGGAGGCGCCCAGCTGTCACAGCCCCTGCAGGCGTACGAGGCGGCGCGCCGGCTTGGCCTGGTGTCCGCCGGTGCCGTCTCTCCGGCCGAACAGCGCGAGGCGCTGCTTACTCTGGCGCTAGAGCGCGGCTTCAGCTCGCTGTTGGCGTCGTGCGCGACACGCTGGTCATCAGGAGACTCCGACCCGGGCGGCTGCACGCTGCGCGCGCTACTCAACTGGCTGTGGCAGCACGCCGTCGAGGTGGTATCTCGCATCGACGCATCGTGTGTACCGCTGTTTGACATGAGCGCCGGGAATCTCTCTGACGAAGATCTGGCCATCCTACACGGACTGCGCGCTCAGTTGGACGGTATGGTCACAGTTCTAGACACTATGGCCGCCAGAACTCCAAACACTGACGGCGGCCGCGCCGAGCTCGAGTCCAAGAGCTACGTGCTGCGTGTGCGTAGTCTGCACACGGGTGTGATCCTGTGGCTGTGTCACGCCGGCCTGCTGCCAGAACAGGCTGACGAGGAGGCCGGCGAGTCAGTCGAGTTCGCGTACCCGGGCGCGGCGCTAGCGCAGTGGTACGCCGAGCGGCGCAGACAGCTGGGACGCCGCCTGCTCATGGTGGACGGCCTGGTGGAGGAGCTGGGTGAGCCGCTGCGCGCCTACTGGCAGGAGGACGGCGACGGCGCGTACCCGCCGCGCTCGCTGCAGGCGCTGACCCGTGCCTACCTGCTGGACGGGGTGACGGACGTGCGTAAACACCGCCTGCTGCACTATCTGCTGCTCGACCTCAGCCGACTCGTCTCCGACGAACACCACGACACGCTCAAGTCGTTCCCCTCCAGCTTCGCCATGCCGCCCAGCCTGATCAAGCTGACGCACGCCTTCTGGCACCTGGATCACGGCAATGTGGACTCTGCTCTGGTGTTCCTGATGGACCCGCTGGTCCGGCCGGCGGATCTCAGCGCCTGGCAGCACCGGCGCGTGGTAGAGTCGCTGTTGGCGCAGCAGGCGCCGCGCGCTGCCCTGCAGTACGCCCGGGCGCGCCACCTCCCGGCGCCGCACGCCGCCGATCTGCGGCTCCACCTGCGCGTGCTGCTGGATAACGGTCTGGTGACTGAGGCGCTGCGCTATGAGCGCCGCCACCGTCCTCTGGGAGGCGACGAGCTCACTGGATGGCTCCTGGAGGGCTGCAAGCAGCGCCGCCTGCTCACACAGCTGATGCGTCAGCCGCTGGACGCCGCGCTCGAACGGCAATTCATCCAGTTTCTGGAGAAGAACGCGGACCGTGAGTGTGCCGAGCTGCTGCACGTGTTCTATCTACAGCGGGGCCGGTACCGGGAGGCGGGCGACCTGCAGCGGAGACTGGCGGCCGCCGCTGCGCCCCCTGCCCCGGCGCGGGCCGAGTTTCGGCAGTCGCTCCATCAGCTGCTGCCGACGCTGATCCACCGCCGCGACGGCTCTCCGTCGGCTGGAGTTCCCCGTCACGGCACCGTCGCCAGTCGCCGCCGCCCGCTCTCGGCACAGCTACACCAGGTGCCGGCCGACGTCCGCTCGCGCGCCATCCTCATCCAGGAGGTACTCGAACAGAACGGCAAGAAACCAGCGACTCCGGCGGTCGCCGCCACGCCATTCCGTCCTCGCCACAAGCGGAAACTGCCGGAAGATGATGACGTATTCGACAGTCCGGCAGCCGGCCAGCGACGTCCGCTGCGGCCCGACGTGCGGCGTCTGCTGCAGACACCGCCTGTGCGCCGGGCGCCGCGCCGCTCCGATATTGAGCCCGGCACGCCCCAGATGACCACTCCAGCCGCCACCAGGACGCCGCAGTCAATTCTCAAGGTGCGCCGCTACTTGGAATCGAGCGGCGCCTCGCGCACTGAGGACACGCCATCCAAGCAGCTGCGGTTTGGCATGCTGCGCGGCCGCCGCTCGCTGGAGGAGAGCCGTGCTGATCATACTCCCCCGCCGCTGGCCACTCTTTTCACCCCTGGGAAGACGCCGGCTCCTCTGCGTGCTCCGGTCCTCTCGTCCGCGTCCCCGGTGGCTCCCGAGCACTCTCAGACTCCGTCGACTCCCGCGCCGGTCCGACTGGCGTCTCTGTTCACACCTGGGAAGACGCCGGCACCGCTAGCGCCGCGCATCAGCCGTCTGCCCGAGCCGCGGATCGCTATGGCTGAAGTATTGACTGCCGCCGAGCGAAAACCGCCGACACCCGAGCCAGCCTCACCGCCGAGCAAACGTCAGTCGCTGGCTAGTGAGCTAGACGACAGTGAGTTCTACAGTTTCGAGGCGAGCCCGACGGTAGCTGAGCAGACGCTCGAGTTCTTTGGCCGCGAGCGCCAGCTGCAGCTGGTAGAGCGCTCCTGGCATGACGAGAGTGACGTGGTGACGATGGGTGGCGACGTGTCGCGCAGATCACATACTGGTGACGACGACGAAACGATGAGCGAGGGCTCTCCGGCGCATGAGGATGAAGTTGGACAGCGGCACTCGACTCCACAGCAGGAGCTGCAGCGGCGTACCGTCGGCGACCAGGAGCACGAAGAAGCCGTCGATCCGCGGGCAGAGCTTCATCTGGTGACCCCTAGTCCGCGCCGAGAGCTGCACCGGTCAGCCCGGGCAGCCGTCTGTGATACTGAAGAGCTTGGTGACAGGTCGGGCGTGCGCGAAGAGCGTAGCGAGGTCAGTGCTGTGATTCGTACTGAGGTGTCTCCCGTGAGCGCACGAGCGACCGAGCCGACCGCACTGTTGGAGAAAAGCGAACAGAATCAAATCGTGTCCGAGGAAGATCAGAAATCAGTGGCTTCAGAGAATGAATCGGAGGCTGCTGCGCCTGAAGAAGAACCAGCCATGTCAGAAAAGGATGAGGGTGAGCCCGTCACTCCGTCCGAGGACAATAAGACACCCGCTGCGTCATCACAGAAGAGCGAGCGGCGTGAGTCCAACTCGTCTGGAGAGTTTAGCCCACTGATCGGTAACAAGTTCACCAGTCTGGCGGCGCTGGCTGATGCCGAGCCGGCGGAGGGTGGTCTGGAAGCGCTGGAAGCCCAGATTTTGACGGGAGCTGACAACAGCCCTCAGCGGGCGAAGCCGTCCCCTGAGAAGTCGCCGGAGAAGATCTCCGCCGGCGCGGCCGGTGAAGAGCCTCTGGTTGTGAAGAGGACTGCCTGGGTCACTGGAGAGGAGAGTGAGACGCAGGATCGCACCCTGAGCTCGCTCGAGGCGCAGATTCTGACGGGACCCGGCGCGGTCTCTGCTGGGAAGGAGACTGCAGGGCGGGAGTCGCCAGCGCCGGAGGTGACGTCAGGAGCAGAGCCGTTAGCTGTGAGGGAGGCCGCCTGGGTGACCGGTACTCCAGAGAGTGACTTGTTGGACCGCAGGCTGGCTGAGCTGGAGGCTCAGGTGGTATCGGGTGGTGATCAGGTCAACACTGGAAGCACCGAGTCCCACCGCCGCTCCATACCGGACGAACAGTCTGCAGTCGAGCGACGGACGGCCTGGGTGACCGGCGTCCCGGACGACGACGAGGAGACATCACCGATGTCGGAAAGTTACTTGGCACCGCCGGCTGGCTTGCAGGAAGCTCTGCAGAGGATCGACCAGGCTCTCCAACTGCCTGATCTGTCTACGACGATCGGGCCAACGGCCATCACCTCTGGTGTGCTTTCAAACAGCTCGGAGGCGGTGTCCAGTATGACTCTTCGACTCGAGTCGGACAGTGAGGACGAGCAGGAGCCGCCGCAGTTCGCCGGCTTCACCTCGCTGCAGCAGGGGCCGGCCGAGCCGGCGGCGCCCAGTCCGCCGCGCTCGCCACCTGCCGACCGTCTGACTCGCTCGTCTCTGCTGCGTCGGCCCAGTCCGGCGGCCGGGTCGCCTCTGCTGACCCCACGGCGCAGTCTCCGACGGCGGGCCGGCTCCGGGGCCGCCGAACAGATCACCGAGAAGACAACCGAGACAGACGTGGAGACCCAGGCGGCTGTAGAGACCACGAAGGCAGTCGTAGAGTCCACGGAGACTATCGTCAAAACCACGGAGATGGCTGTTGAAGCCACGGAGGAGAGGACTGTTGAAACCACGGAGAAGATAACCGTCGAAACCACCGAATCAGCTGTCGACTCAACTAACACAGCCGTTGAGACTGCAAAGACAAGGGTGGTGACCTCGGAGACAGTTGAAACCACGGAGACAGTCACCGAGCCCACAGAGGCAGCCGTTGAAATTGCAGAGACAACCGCGATGGTGACCACGAAAACAGTTGAGACAGCGGAGACAGTTGAAACAATGGAGACTACTGTTGAAACTGTGGAGACGGCCGACGACGCCACGGAGACTGCTGCTGAGTCCACAGAGGAAGCCGTCGAGTCCACAGAGGCAGCCGTCGAGACAACCGCGGTGGTGGCCACGACAGTTGAAACAACAGAGACAGTTGTGGAAACTGTAGAGACAGTCGTTGAAGCCATGGAGACGGCTATTGAGTCCACAACAACAGCCGTTGAGACCAAGGAGGCGGCCATCGAAACCACAGAGGCAGCCGTCAAATCCAAGGAGACAGAGTCCACAGAGGCAGCCGTTGAGCCTGCAGCAGAAGTGGACGGAGCTGGGTCGGAGCCGGTGGTGCCTGCCGCCGCTGCGGGGACGCCGTCCTCTCAGGAGGTCGGTTCAGCGGAGGAGGACACGACGCCCTCACCAAAAACTCGGCGAGCGATACCGTCGCCGAAGAAAGAGAAAGCCGTCACAAGATCTCCGGAGAAGGCAGGACAGTCCACGTCGCCCGTTGTCAAGATCACCACGCCAACCTCATCTCCACCAACGAGGCAGGCGGCGGCGGCGGCTGCGCGCGCCGAAGTGTCGTCGCTCTCTCCAGTGGCTGAGGAGCACCCCTCGGAGGCTCCTCCATCGCCGCCGACAGACTCGGCCGCTGCTCTGACCACCCCGTCCAGAGCGCGGCGCAGCGTTCGCCGCAGCGTTGGCGGTGTGACTCCCCGCTCCCGGCTCAGTCTTCTGGCGGCCGTGGATCCTCTCTCACCTGTACCTGAAGGGCGCAGTGTCGGAGCTGCGAGCGGCGAGCCCGCTGAGCCGGACACTGCCGCTGCCACAGAGGAGCAGGAAGGCGAAACTGAGGAGCCTCTGCCGGAGCCGACCTCCACGCGTAAGAGCGCTCGCCGGAGCGCCTCTGCGGAGCCAGAGCAGGCACCAACCTCCATGCGAAAGAGCTCCCGCCGCAGCGCCTCGGCAGAGCCGGAGCAAGCGCCGACATCCGCAAGGAAGAGCTCTCGGTCGCGGGCGGGCTCGGTGGGTCCGGCCACGCCTCTCCGACGCAGCGCGCGGACCCGCAGCGTCTCGCAGGAGCCCGAGGAGGCGGGCGCAGAGACGGACTCGCTGCGGGGAGGCTCGGTCGAGCCTGGGTCACCGGTCTCCACACCATCCAGACGGCTGAGGACCCGACAGGTGTCAGAGGAGCCCGAGCAGGCCACCGCTCCCGCGACCTCGAGAGGCAGGAGAACGAGAAAGGCTTCTCAGTCGGAACATGGCGATGACTCGGTGTTTGAAGATACCACTAAGAAGGGAGCGGCAACCAGAGATGGCTCCGAAGAGCCCAAAGATAAGGCGGGCCCCGATACCACCGTCAAAACGAGGCGTGCCAGAAAAGTTTCTGAGGAACCAGAAGAGCCGACTGCCCAGAGCACAGCTCAGAAAACAAGACGTACAAGAAAAGCCTCTGAAGAGCCGGAAGAACAATCAGTGTTGGATACAGCAAAGAAGACCAGACGTACCAGAAAAACTTCTGAGGAGCCAGAAGAAGCATCAGTTCTGGACACAGCAAAGAAGACCAGACGCACTAGAAAAGCTTCTGAGGAGCCAGAAGAAGCATCGGTTCTTGACACAGCAAAGAAGACTAGACGCACCAGAAAAGCTTCTGAGGAGCCAGAAGAAACATCAGTTCTGGATACAGCAAAGAAGACCAGACGTACCAGAAAAGCTTCTGAGGGGCCAGAAGAACCATCAGTTCTGGACACAGCAAAGAAGACCAGACGTACTAGAAAAGCTTCTGAGGAACCAGAGGAACCATCAGTGTTGGATACAGCTAAGAAGACCAGACGCAGTAGGAAGACCTCCGAGAGCCAGGGAGAGCAGACGGCCGCAGACACCACACAGAGCGGAAGGCGAACGAGGAAGGTTTCTGAGAGCACGGCCGCTGAGGAGCCCACTCCGGCGAGAGCCACACGGACCAGGAAGATGTCTGAATCCTCTGAAGCCGATGTGCCTGTTCCTCCCTCTGCGAGCAAACGCACCAGAAAACAGTCTCAGGCGAGTGAATCGTCGGAGGCTGGCGGTAGCCCCGAGCGGGCGTCCAAGGCGCGCCGACTGCGGGGTTCCTCAGAGGACGTGGAGGATGATGAGGACGACGGCATGGCGCCGCCGGCCTCCCCGGCGCGCAGCACCCGCGCGCGCAGTCTGTCCGTCCAGCCGTCCTCGCCGGCTCGGCTGCCGACACGGGCGGTCTCGGAGCAGCCGCCCGAGACGCGCGTCACCGCCTCTGGGCGCAAACGGCGGCCGGCCAAGGGCTCGGAACCCGCCACACCACCCACCGCGGCGAAAACAGGCCGCGGAACGAAGAAGAGCAGGGCGGCGGCGGCGGCTGACGAGGACGAGGACCCGCCGTCGGACGGAGAGCAGTCGCCGCCTGTGCGCCGCGCGGTCGGCCGCCGCAGTCAGGCGGGTGCCACCGCGCGCCGCTCGGCGCTGCCGGCTATCGCTGAGGCGGCGGCCGAGGCGATGCCGCCGCCGGCGGGCGCGGCTGCCGGCCGTCGGCGGCGGCGCCGCACGACGCGCCTGCCCTCGGAGCCGCAGGAGGCCGGCAGTCCGCTGGTACTGGTCACGGAGGAGCAGCTGGAGGAGATCCAGCGCCGCTCGGAGGACTCGCCGGAGCAGGAGCCGCTGCCGCGCGACCGCCGGGCCTCCATCGCGCGCACCCGCCAGCGCACTGGCCCCCGCCGCTCGGTGCGGCTCTGGTAGTCACCTGGGAGCGACTGGGGCGCAATCTGCGGCGTACCGTCAGTGATGTTCGACTGTGACCGGCTGTGGTCGGTCAGCTGCTCAGCGTGTTCATGTATGAATGTGTGGGGTACTCGGAACGTGGGGGGAGGGGGTGGGGGGACTGTCAATTGTTCAGTGGCCACCACGGGTCACGCTTGTATGTGTCAAACGTATTTTGGATAACGACCGTCTCGCTGTCCATGCCATCGTCGCTGGGCAGTCGTTCCGAACGTCTCGCCTGTCCCGTGCCCGGCCCGTCGCGCTTGGCTTTCTCAGCGCAGGGAACGAACGTTTCAGTTGACAGCGGTGTGTGCTCGGTTTTGCGGTCGTTTTGCGTCGGCTTTGTACGCGATCCGAGCTCAGATACAATGATGTACGGTGTGATTTGGGGATAGATTCAGGGGCGTTGGGCGGTCAGTGCCGGTAGGGGAGCCGCGCGAGGCTGTCGTTCTCAGCGCTGTCACCGGCTGCATCCGCGTCGTCCGACGACGTTTGAACCGTATCATGAATAGCGAAATGTTCAGTGGCTCGCAGTGCTGTCCGTCTCTGTTAAACGATTTGTCACCGACGCCAAAACTTGTCAGTGAATGTGTTTAAGTTGAGTTACTACAATAAACGTGAGGAGCGCCTGTTGTAGTGTGCGAATGGCCGTGAGCCGTGCTCGCAGAGAGCTGCTGTCTGCAGATACGTCTGTATAAATGGGCGTGTGCAAATTCGAGCGCCGGAGGGTCGGTGGCGACTGGGAGCCTGTTGGGCGTGTAGCGCGCCGGGATAATGAATGCCAGCTCGTAGCACCCCCGGGCTAGGACGCAGTGCGTGCAGTGTCGGCGGATATCTCCACCCGGGTGACAGGTTCACACGGATTTGACAGGTGACAGAGGTTCGCACAGATCTGGCACGGGAGCTGACCGGGCGCTACTGGCTGTCTGTCTCCGCTTGGTAACCGCGGAGGAACGATCCACAGCTGGCGCCGTCAGCTGATAGTTCAGTGGGTCTGCCGGAGGTCCATCGCCCGCTCACCATCGCTCGGCTGATGAGCGGCCGCCGTTCGCCACATGACTCCGTCACGAACCTTTCTGACCACACTGCGGTCGGCCAGAGGTCACGGCATTATACCGGCGCTAACCCAGTTCGGAGCTGTCAGCAGCTTGACCTCTGAGCGGCCGGGGGCGGGCCGCGCCTCTGGGAGGTGTTCGCGCGCCGCCAAATCGCTGTTGGACACGAACCGCGCCGGGCTGCCCCGTCTGTCGGCGGCCGTCAGACTGGCCGTCCGTGAGCGATCCGCCGCCACGGACCTAATTCGCAGCGCTAAACGCCGCTCGGACGCCCGTAAATCGTCGCCGAATGGCTTTATTAGAGCGCTGTTCCGAGCGGCTGGGCACGGCGCACTCCTCTCCCCGCCCTGAGCCCCCCCCCCCTCCTCCCCCCGAGGAGGGCAGGAGCCAGGAGCTCCAGCCTCCAGTTGACCCGGGTGGGCATCAGTTCGGATAGCAGGGCCTGATAGCCTCTCCCTTTCCGAAAGATGTGTACCAGCCTGTCTTGCATTCTACCTAACGGGGCACCGAGTAACGTGCATGCCTCTCCTGCATTTTCATACACATTAGCATCTTCACTTCCACCCTTTCATTACCTCGTTTCCTCTCTCTCTCTCTCTCTCTCTCCTCTCTCTCTCTCTCTCTCTCTCTCTCTCCTCTCTCTCTCTCTCTCTCTCCCTCTCTCCCTCTCTCCTCTCTCTCTCTCCTCCTCTCCTCTCTCTCCCTCTCTCCTCCTCTCTCTCCCTCTCTCCTCTCCTCTCTCCTCTCTCCCTCTCTCCTCCTCTCCTCCTCTCCTCTCTCTTCTCTCTCCCTCTCTCCCTCTCTCTCTCTCCTCTCCCTCTCCCTCCTCTCTCTCTCTCCTCTCTCCTCCCCCCTCTCCCCCCCCCTCTCCCTCTCCTCCCTCTCTCTCTCTCCTCTCTCTCTCTCTCTCTCTCTCTCCCCTCTCTCGCTCCTCCTCTTCTCTCTCTCCTCTCTCTCTCTCTCTCTCTCTCTCCTCCCTCTCTCTCTCTCTCTCTCCTCTCTCTCTCCTCTCCTCTCCCTCTTCTCTCTTCTCTCTCTCTCTCCTCTCTCTCTCTCTCTCTCCCTCGCTCCTCTCCTCTCGCTCTTTCTCTCCCTCCTCTCCCTCTCCGTTTCCTCTCCCTCCCCCCTATCCTCCTCTCTCTCCCGCTCTCTCCTCGTCCTCTCCTCTCCCCTCCGTCCCTCCCTCTTCTCTTCTCTTCCTTTCTCTCTATCTCTCTCCCTCTCCTCTCTCTCTCCCTCTCTTCCCTCTCCCTCTCTCCCTCCCCTCTCTCTCTCCATAAACGCCGTTCCTCCGGTGCTCCAATGGGAGCAGACGTGCCGCCCTTGCACGCATGCCTAGCTCGCGCCAAAAAACGGCGCGACCACTGCTGTTTGGAATGAGCGGCATTAATGGACGAACTGGCCCGGGTCATGTCGGCTAGACCGGGTCGCGCCGGTCTAGCTAACCGGGCTGCAGTGCCGTCTCACGTCTCTGGCTGAACCGTCGGGCTGTCATTTTTGCCCCATACGACTACGACTGACCTTTGACTAACTATGTAGGTCACCACTAAACGCACCCTGGTTTCTACATATATGTAAATGCATGGCGCTGTCGGCGACGGTCGAGCTCCGCTTGCGCTGAAGACCTATCGCGGGATAGTGCACAGCACCACCGGTCACGTATTGTTCTTATTCACCAGTCGTTTGCCACCCCGAGTCCCACCCGAGGCGGCTGGTTTCCCGCCGACCACCGCCGGCCATCTCCGTCCCGGGCGGGTGAACGGGCGCCGGCTCCATAAATCGACACACGGCCGCTCGGCGCGCGCTAACAAGTCGCCTCCCTGGCACCGGTCGGGCAGTGCTTAATCACGCCTTATTGGAGCTCATTAGTGGCTATCTCTCTATCTGAGGCCGGTCCACCACGGGCAGGGTAGGAAGGCTGGTGTTGTTATTTGGCCGGTCGGCAGGACCGGTGTTCTCCAAAAATGGAATAACAGTAGGTATTTGCTCATTTTCGCCTTATGTGGTCCAAGTTCTGTGATTAGTGTCACTCTGTCCGTTTTGATACGTGTCGCTCGATAGTACAGCAAACTTCGTTCAAGGCGAAGACGAATTTCAAGAAGCACTGACCAAGGCGAATAATGGTCTGACTGTATGTACGAGGGGGTACCCAAAAGTAACGGGAATCGTTCTCTGTAGGCCAAGCCAGTTGTAGCTCGGCATTGCCCTTCTAGGGGCAAACCAGTCTGGCCCCTGGGACTTAGTTTGCACCGTGAGGTGACGAAATAAAGAGGCGCGGCCGCGTGGCGCACGTATTTATTGAAGCACTCCCGCCCGATCCGTCGTTTTTTTATGCATAGCGGAACTGAGCAACAACGCGCATCTGTGAAATTTTGTTTCCTGCTGGGGAAGTCCGCGACTGAAACGGTTCCAATGCTTCAAGTAGCATACAAATATGCTGCCGTGAGCATGACACGGGTTTATGAATGATTTTCCCACCTCGAAAGTGGTCAAATGTTATCCCAAAAGCGCCCCAAAAAGCTTGCCAAGTGAAGTCAAATGTCAAGACAATGCTGATTTGTTTTTTCGATGCAAAGGGAAGTGTGCAAAAGGAAATTGTTCCTCCCTGGTCAAACTGTCAATCAGGCGTTTTACTAGGACGTTCTGCGGCGTGTGTGAAACACGGTGAGACGAAAACTCCCGACAGGTGGCGAAGCGGGGAGTGGTGATTTCATCGCGGCAGAGTGCCAGCGCACACCGCCTTGAGTGTCAGACAATTTGGACAAAAATGCATGACCTCACGGCAGTGGCGCAGCCAGGGGGGGTGAAAGGGTGAGATCTCACCCCCGTCTCTAATCCTAGGGGCCCACCGTCGATTCGAACTGTAACGTTATGCAGCCTGCCAATTTTTTATCACTAATGTCAGGTCCGTCATAGGACTGAAAAACAGTTTTCAGGCCTGATAGCCCCCCCCCCTTTAGGATTTATAGTCCCATTTTATGATTTAAGGGGGTACATCCAAGGCCCGATTGAACTAGTCCAAGGCCTAGGAGAGCCCGTTCCGTGGCATGAGAGGGCCATTTCAGGTCTGAAAGGGCCCATTTCAGGTCTGTGAGGGCCCATTTCAGGCCTGAAGGGGTCCAGTTGAAGCTTGAGAGGGCCCATTTCAGGCCCTAGAGGGCCTGTTTGAGGCTTGAGAGGGGCCCATTTCAGGCCTGAGAGGGCCCATTTGATGCCTGTGAGGGCTCATTTTAGGCCTGAAGGGGTCCATTTCAGGCCCTAGAGGGCATGTTTGAGGCCTGATAGGGCCCACTTCAGGCCTGGGAGGGGCCATTTCAGGCCTGAGAGGGGCCCATTTCAGGCCTGAGGGGGCCCATTTCAAGCTTGAGAGGGCCCATTTCAAGCTTGAGAGGGCCCATTTCATGCCTTAGAGGGCCTGTTTGAGGCCAGAGAGGGCCCGTTTGAGGCCAGAGAGGGCCCGTTTGAGGCCAGAGAGGGTCCGTTTGAGGCCTGAGAGGGCCCATTTCAGGCATAAGAGGCACTATTTCAGACCTGAGAGGGCCCAGTTACGGTATGAGGGGGCCCTTTTTCGACATGATAGGGACCATTTCCGGGCTGAGGGGGCCCATTTCAGGTCTGAGAGGGCCTATTTTAGGTCTGAGGGGCTAATGTCAGGCCTGAGAGGGCCTATTTCAGGCCCTTGAGGTCCTATTTGAGGCCTGAGAGGGGCCCATTTCAGGTCTGACAGGGCTAATGTCAGGCCTGAGAGGGCCCATTTCAGGCCCTAGAGGACCTGTTTGAGGCCTGAGAGGGGCCCATTTCAGGCCTGAGTGGGCCCAGTTCAGGCCTGAGAAGACTCATCCCAGGAGAAAGAATCATCCTATGTGTGGCAGGGTCCGTACTCCGTGCCTGGTCTGGGTCTGAGAGGGCCTATCCCAATCCTGATTGAGCCGATATCATGTTTGATATAGGTAAACTCACCACATGTATATTGATGGCCCAGTTCATGTCTAATGGGCCCATCTCAAGACTCAGAGATTGTATGCTTCAGGAAGCCTACCCCAAGCGTGAGGGGGCCCGTAGAGGTTTTTGAGGCTCATGGAGGTCCCGCAGTACGATATGTCAGCCTCTGAGAAAGCCATGCAGGGCCCTTAAGATGCCAAGCCGACATCTGAAAATTCCTCTTCTCTTCAGGCCTGTGCCTGCCTCACCGTCCGGTCCCACCCTGACGTCTAGGGGTTTGACTCCTAGGTATTCATTAGGACTCCACACCGGTCCATGATGGCTCCAAACTGACACCTGAGGCTCCTGCACCGGCTTTTGAGGGGCCCATCGACCTCTGATAGCCACCACGCAGGTCTAAAAGACCATGTCGAATGTTGATATCTAAACCCCTAAGTCATGGAATGCCTGTGCTCTATGCAGATTCTTGAGGGCTTTACGTGGGCTTGTAAACATCCCGAACTGGCTCTAGCATAGCTCGACCGCGCCCCGCAGAGCAGGGCCCCAGGCTTTCCAGTTTTACGTCCCTGAAGGGGTTTGAATATTCCCTTCTAACCTGACTCCAGGGTCACGTAGCGACAAGTGCGGCGGTA